GTTTTCATGACGTTTTAAAACCTTAGGAGAACTTCCCGCCCTCCTAACCTACCAGAGGACCCTTAACTTGCTGTTTTGGAAAAACATATCCAAAATTTATTTTCAATTATTTTTTTATTTTCAAATTACGTCCATTTTCGGCGATACGAGTCGAGCCTGGCCTCGGGCCGGGCTTGGGGAGTAGAACAACTCCCAGAACCCCATCAAGCAGGTACGGGCAAACGGCCAAATTCAGATGTAATTTGTAAGAGGACAGGTTGCACACAACCTTTTTATCCTCAGTGTCTACGCCCAAGCGTCATCATGTGAATCAATAATATCTATAATAACAAATCCTTTAATATAACAAGTTCTCGCAAACCGGGACGAAGCAACGCACTCAAGATTTCAGAGAGCTGAAAATAGGGCACGCCGCTTCTCAGCAAACATCGTCTATCAAACACCGAGTAAGATCTCACCAGCTTCACAGGTGAGAAGCGATTTGCTTCTCTGCAAATCATCTTTGCAAGATGATGGCCACCAACACCAGACTCGGGCGACCTCCCAAGACACCAACTCCTCCGCATGAAAGGCTTCTACACACCTCGGACCGTCAAGACCCCGCTGGTGACCATTAATGCTTCCAGTGATTATGAACTCCAAGAACCCCTACATAGCACCAGAAGACTCACCCTTGAACAAGAGACATCAAGACACATCCAGAGCCCCGACTTTCCTAAACGACCCCGTATTCTGAACCACCTCCCAGACCACCCTCAAGAACGGGCCTTCCTACACCTAATCTTCACTGTGGAAGTCATTCAATAAACGAATAAGCAAAATATGTAAAAAATTATACAAAACTACATAATCCATCTGTGTAGGGAGCAAGCAGTGCACAAAGCTTGGTGCTTGAGGAAGGCTACTTGAACAAGCCAATCACCGGCTCAAAATACCAGAACAAGGGCAGGAGGCCAACACTGACCTCCACCATCACCAGCCTAAACAACTCCACACACCACTTCACATAACACTTACACCAACTACTGCACATCCAGAGTGGACCGGACACTATATTTCAAATTCCACTCAATTTATATCTCCATCTTTTCTCTCTAATCCCCATTCCTCTACTTCCCCCCCACCCCCCAACAACTTGGGCTGGAAGGCAGAGCGACGATTTTGTTTCATGCAGGTCGGCGTTCAATCGAACTATATAATCGTAACGGTTTGGCGTTTTCTCCTGATAGTTTCCTTCCCCCCTCCTCCCCCACCCCCCTCCTCACCAAATAATGTGCTGGTGGCCAGGGGTCAGATTCAGATTCACGAAGCAGTTACGCAAGCACTTACGAACCTGTACATCTTTTCTCGATCTTTGGCGGCTTTGTTTACAATTATTAAACAGTTAATGAGCTCCGAAGCACCAGGAGGCTGTTTATAACAGTAACAACAGTTGATTGGGAAGTTTTCATGCTTGTAAACTGTTTAAAAAATGTAACCAAAGCCGTCAAAGATTGAGGAAAGATGTACACGTTCGTAATTACTTGCGTAACTGCTTCGTGAATCTGGCCCCAGAGCCGGCCCGGGCGGCTTCTTGAACACACAGGACATACCCAGTCATGACTCCAGCCAGTAAACACTGCAAAACATGATCCAGGAGCTCCACCAGCCTCCTTGTATTACTACTCTGATACACGATACACCAGCCACTGTTGCAGGATAGTCTTGCATATAGTGCAGGCTCAGGGGACCTCACGGTTACTACTTTTAGGTGAGAGTATGAGAGAGAATGTGTGTGTGTGGAAGTATATGTGAGAGCATAATGCATGTGGGTATACTTTCAGGGGACCTCGCGAGTTGCAGCATCATGGTTTATCCCTCGTGGCGCAACGCATGTTTTATTTCATCCATTTTCTTGCAATATTAAAAAAACATCATTTAGCTATTAGTAACTTTCCACGTTTTTGGCCAGATGTAAACTCTTACCTTGAGTATACCTTGAGGAGGTTTCGGGGCTTAGCGTCCCAGCGGCCCGGTCATCGCCCATTTCTCGTTACTGGACTGGTCAACCAGGCTGTTACACGCGGCTGCTTGCAGCCCCTGACCAAAGTTCAGACACACTGTACCAACTTCTGTATCCAGCACGAGTCTGGTTGGTTTTCAGGATTTCATAACTATTTTTGTATTACTGTAATAGACAAGAGAGCCGCAAGTTTAACACAGCAGTATGCATCCAAACCTTACAAGGTCTATAGTCATACTGGCTTGGCACTTTCTCCATATAGTACCTTGCAAGATAACACACTTGTATATCACAGATATACTTGGGGGTTGATATCATGCCAGACCTGTCCCCTGAAGGCCATATCAAGAGGATAACATCAGCGGCATATGCCAGGTTGGCCAACATACCTTATGGATGGATGCATAAAAAATGCGTCATACCTTATGGATGAGTCCTGTAAATCAAATAAAAAAGTATTAATAAATGGTTGTACACACACACACATATATATATATATATATATATATATATATATATATATATATATATATATATATATATATATATATATATATATATATATATATATATATGAATTAATTTATACAAAATTACAGGACATTATATTATTCATTTTTATACTATTTACGCAATATTAATTCATAATATCAGCATAGCACATTAACAATTATAATTATTTACTGTATAACCTATTTAGTATTTAGATTTCTAACTACGGTCCTTGTTTGTGCCTTAATGCTCTATCCCCTCCGGTTTGAACACCTAACGTCAAGGTTAGAGGATGACCTTGTTGCTAAGGCCTTGAAGCATCAACACTAGTGTGGGTGTAGCTGTGTTCTAGTGTAGCTGACCTTGAAGAGATGGTCTAGTCACGTGACCCATGTCACTGGCCTAACCAACAGTAAAGCTTTTGTTTACATACTTTACGACGTAAACAACGTTTGCTTGCTTCATCAATAAATCATGTCATCAGTAAACTACAATTATACTTCACTACCTGGGCGTCTCACAGCTGGGTGGACAGCGCTTCGGATTCGTAGTCCTGAGGTTCCGGGTTCGATCCCCGGTGGAGGAGGAAACAAATGTGTAGCGTTTCTTTCATCCTGATACTCCTGTTACCTAGCAGTAAATAGGTACCTTCATTTAATTCTTCCTGGGATTCTAATTCTACCTGGGAAGAATTCTAATTCTAAGTCTAATTCTACCTGGGAATTAGACAGCTGCTACGGGCCGCTTCCTGGCGGAGTGTAACAAAAAGGAGGCCTGGTCGAGGACCGGGCCGTGGGGACGCAAAAGCCCCAAAATCATCTCAAGATAAGATAACTCGCCATCACTGACACCTGAGGAGTGCCTCTGTTTTCCCCAAGTCACGTGACGCAACATCCTGTCCTGGTCTTCATGACGTCACGTTCACTCTAGTGTGTTTACGCGGGAAGGTTAAGGCGCCAGAGAGGTCAGTCAGTGATCCACTGACTTATTAACACCAGGTTACACGTTTGTTACTGCTTTGAATTGCCAATGTATTTTATTTTCATTTTATAATGTATTTTACTTTCATGTTATAATGTATATTACTTTCATTTTATATGTTAATTAAAAATCAGTACAACTAACAAACTACCTGTTCTCTCTCTCTCTTAAAGAAAATTTACGAATAATGTAATTGCTAGAGCAAGGGGGACTAACTGGGGTAATTGCTAGAGCAAGGAGACTAATTGGGCTAACTGCTAGAACAAGGAGACTAACTGGGCTAATTGCTAGAGCAAGGAGACTAACTGGGCTAATTGCTAGAGCAAGGAGACTAACTGGGCTAACTGCTAGAGCAAGGAGACTAACTGGGCTAACTGCTAGAGCAAGGAGACTAACTGGGCTAATTGCTAGAGCAAGGAGACTAACTGGGCTAACTGCTAGAGCAAGGAGACTAACTGGGCTAACTGCTAGAGCAAGGAGACTAACTGGGCTAACTGCTAGAGCAAGGAGACTAACTGGGCTAACTGCTAGAGCAAGGAGACTAACTGGGCTAACTGCTAGAGCAAGGAGACTAACTGGGCTAACTGCTAGAGCAAGGAGACTAACTGGGCTAACTGCTAGAGCAAGGAGACTAACTGGGCTAATTGCTAGAGCAAGGAGACTAACTGGGCTAACTGCTAGAGCAAGGAGACTAACTGGGGTAACTGCTAGAGCAAGGAGACTAACTGGGCTAATTGCCAGAGCAAGGAGACTAACTGGGCTAACTGCTAGAGCAAGGAGACTAACTGGGGTAACTGCTAGAGCAAGGGGACAAGAGCTACATTGGTTATAATTCCTCCTTACTGTTAACGAGCAGATGTGGCCGACTGTGCCTTAGCTGGAATGATATTGGCTTACCGTCTGACTTACACCATATTACCAACGTCGAACTCGGACTGGGAATTTGCCAACCACTTGGACTGGTCGGCATAGCAACGATCTCACTTCTTGCAGATCAGCGTTCGATTCCCGAGGGTCCAAGTGGCTGGGTACCGTTCCTTTACCCCTTCCTCATATCCCAGCTCCTCCTCTCCTGTCCTCACACATTGTACTCTCATACTGGCTTAGCACTTCTTCCTTATAAGTTTTTCTTAAATTCGAAAGCATTTAGGAGTTGACTACAATGTTAAGGAAGCTGCACTGGGAACAAGGTGTGATATATGACTCCTGCAACAAGTCTTAGACATGATGTTGACACTGGTGGGTATGTGGGCCTGCAGGCCGCTCCAAGCAACAGCCTGGTGGACCAAACTCTCACAAGTCAAGCCTGGCCTCGGGCCGGGCTTGGGGAGTAGAACAACTCCCAGAACCCCATCAACCAGGTATCAAGCAGGTACACTGTAGTGTCGAAGATAATTTGAGATATAATTACAGTATAAATTGCGATTGTAAGGTCTTTAAGAAAATATAATTTCTTTAACTAGTATAATAGAAGCAGTAACTAATATGTATCAGACCACTCTAAAGTAGCATAGTTCTATAACAGTGCACAAACAACAAGGCCGTAGCAAGGAACAGTCTCTATACATAACCAGATCACCACCAATATCCTGACCTCACCAAATTAATCAACAAATACAGCAACAGCAGAAGACTGAACACTGGCGAGACATTATCCATCAACCAACCCAAGCCATCTACCAACCCAAGCCATCAACCAACCCAAGCCATCAACCAACCCAAGCCATCAACCAACCCAAGCCATCAACCAACCCAAGCCATCAACCAACCCAAGCCATCAACCAACCCAAGCCATCTACTAACAGCCAACTAACACCATAATTACACGCTGCCATCTTCGAGAACACGACGACAAACACAATAACCAGCCCAAGCCATCATGGAAACAGGAGACTGGTAAGATGGAATGGGCCTGTTGGTCCATAAGTGAGGTTCTTCACCTTGACCTCATCTAAGGCTATATATCCGGCTGCAAAAAACTTTGTAACCAAAAACCTGGCCACAGTACCACACCCGGCCCCCACCAGCAGGCTTGAGTAACTTCACAAGACACCCATCGCCACTGCGACCCGTTGAGAGGGTTTTAACAACGACTATTCACCACAAACGTCTAAAAGTCAGGACTCGCCCCATGGACGGCCATACTTTCTCCAAAAGCAACGTCTTGAAGATCCTAAAAGAAGCCGCTGGCATTACACCCATCGACCTTGGTCAAGAAGGGGAGAATGTTGTCCTCTATTTCTCGTGTGGAGGATTACGAAAGACTCAAAAAATTCGATCGCACACTTCGCCAAGTACACCACCTCTGTCTTCTCTTCTCACGTCAGTACATCGCCGACCGAACAGTCTTTATCAGCGGGACCAGCCGCTGGATCACGGACCGAGAACAAATGGAGATCATTACCAACATCGAGGAAGAAAACCAGAACAAGGGTTCTTGTTCCAAGTACTGTGGGTATGTTATTTTTGTTATCCAAGTACTGTGGGTATGTTATTTTTGTTATCCAAGTACTGTGGGTATGTTATTTTTGTTATCCAAGGCCTGTGGGTATGTTATTTTTGTTATCCAAGTACTGTGGGTACATTTTTCGTTATCTAAGATCTCATGAGGTATGTTTGTTCGATATCCATGTTTTATGCGCTATATATATTTTGGTTATCCTTATCTATGGGAATATGTGTGTCAAATTTGTGTTATTCAAGCATTAAACCTACAAACACACAACGTAACTCTCCATATTTTACGCTTGTTACAACTTGTAATAAAGTTGTTACATCTTGTCATAACGTTTTTATGACGGATTAGTAGGTTGTTACAATTTGTTAGGCGTTAAAACTTGTTCGAATGTTGTAGCAACGTTGTGGTTTGGTCGTGTGTTAGGCGGGAGGAGTATTTGTTTGTTTGTTTGTGTGTGTGTATAACCTTAGTAACTAATGGTTGTGTACCTGACACATGACTGCAGGTCCACCTGTTAACCGTTGCAAGGTGACTGTTAACTGTTGCAAGGTGACTGTTAACTGTTGCAAGGTGACTGTTAACTGTTGCAAGGTGACTGTTAACCGTTGCAAGGTGACTGTTAACTGTTGCAAGGTGACTGTTAACTGTTGCAAGGTGACTGTTAACTGTTGCAAGGTGACTGTTAACTGTTGCAAGGTGACGAGGGTGAGTTACAGCCAACAGGTGAGACAGTTACAGTCTACCTGGGGGTAACGAATGGCTACACACCCACAGTCAGAAGCAGATATGACAGATATCCCCCCAGTGGTCTAGAGTCAGTTGGAAAGGCGGGGACCAGGAGCCGAGTCCGTGTGTGCCGCCCACTGTGGTGGTAGTGGCGGCGGACGTGTCAGTCTCTCTCCATTGTTATTTGGTTTATTTACTGTTGAAACTAACACGGGGAATGTGATTCCTCTGTTTATTCTTCCACGCGACGAGGCGACTGCTGTGTGGACAGTGGGCGTGGGCGGGGGAGTGGTGGGCGTGGGTGGGGGAGTGGTGGGCGTGGGCGGGGGAGTGGTGGGCGTGGGTGAGGAGTGGTGGGCGTGTGAGGGATGAAATGGGCGTTACGAGTAGGGCTGGGCAGGAAGTCGCAAGAGGAAAGAGAGAATGTGGCTGCCAAGCTGAGTAATGGGTCTTGGAATGGGGGGAGGTGGTATGTGGTTGGTGGGGGGAGGGAATGTGGTAGGTGGGGAAGCTGAATAAATAGATCAGGAATACAATATATAATACAAAATAACATATATAACAGAATAAACGCGAAGAAAGCCGTAAACAGAGAAATTCCGGTTACCATGGCAGACTTCAGCTATACCTATACAAAGCCCTGTAGTCCTAAGTGTAATTACAGGATGAGAGCTACGCTCGTGGTGTCCCGTCTTCCCAGCACTCTTTGTCATATAACGCTTTGAAACTACTGACGGTCTTGGCCTCCACCACCTTCTCCCCTAACTTGTTCCAACCGTCTATCACTCTGTTTGCGAAAGTGAATTTTCTTATATTTCTTCGGCATCTGTGTTTAGCTAGTTTATATCTATGACCTCTTGTTCTTAAAGTTCCAGGTCTCAGGAAATCTTCCCTATCGATTTTATCAATTCCTGTGTGTGTGTGTGTGTGTGTGTGTGTGTGTGTGTGTGTGTGTGTGTGTGTGTGTGTGTGTGTGTGTGTACTCACCTAGTTGTGTCTGCAGGATCGAGCATTGACTCTTGGATCCCGCCTTTCGAGCATCGGTTGTTTACAGCAATGACTCCTGTCCCATTTCCCTATCATACCTAGTTTTAAAATTATGAATAGTATTTGCTTCCACAACCTGTTCCTGAAGTGTGTGAGTGTGTGTGTGTGTGTTTGTGTGTGTGTGTGTTATATCAACTAGGAGAGAGTACCCGGTGGTGCCCAAGATAGTCTGTCTCTAACAAGACCCCCTCAACTCTACCCTCTTCTTTTCCCCTCTCCCAACAAACCCTCTCTTCCTTCCTCCTTTCCTCATCTCCGTCACCCTTTCCCATGCCCCGTCCCCTCTCCCGCTCCGCCTGTTCCTTCTCACCTACTCCATTTCCTCCCCCTTCTCTCCATTTCCACTTATATAGAAGGGGCATCCGGCTGCACCCGAGTCTCTTCCCATCTTCCCCTCCACACCCCTCATACCCATTCCCCTAGGTCCCCCCTTCCACCTCCCCTTCCCTCTCTCTTCCCCTTCCCTCAGAAAATGAATTATTAAACACTAAAACAGCGACTCTGTGAAAATGACCCCCCCCCACACCCGGGTTGTCTATAATTGCTAAGATTTCTAAAAGCATTTAACATAGGCCTACCTCGACCAGCCTATATCTGTCCTCCATCTGGTTTCCATCTTTGGACACACACACACATATTATATATATATATATATATATATATATATATATATATATACATATATATATATATATATATATATATATATATATATATATATATATATAGATAGATATAGGGGTGATAGTGGGGAAGGGGGCGGGAAAGTTTTTTTCTTTTCTACCACGGACGTGGCCAGACATTTACAATGCTAACCAGTTTATATACATTTTCATCTGTCCACCATGGATAGGGTAAGAGATCTGTTAAGCATATAGTTCAGGGATTTATTGAAAAACAACCACAGAAGGTCATTGTAGTGCTTTTAAAATGCTAAGCTAACCTACAGACATAAATACACAGATACACAGAGTTACGTCTGTCCTACATAAAGTGGTCGATGTGTCCTTTACATAGTGTCATTTATGTGCGTTTACAAAGGTGAAATGTAATTCTGATCAGCTTCCACTTATGCTTTATACACATACATACGCACACATATACATATATGTACATACATACATACATACATACATACATACATACATACACATATACTCATACATACATTCACACACATACATTTATGACTCTTACTCTGAGATGGGTAAGATAGCTCATAGAGAAACTAGTGTGTTATTAAGCACTTAATAACACCTGAAGGCGTTTAAGATGCTTTTACAAGCTCAGGTTATATAGTTACATTACATACATTGTATAATTGGTGGTGGTGGTGGGGGAGGTGGCGGGGAGGGGTGATAGTGGGGGAGGGGGCGGTGAGGGGTGATGGTGGGGGAGGGGGCGAGGAGGGGTGATGGTGGAGAAGGGGGCGGGGAGGGGTGATGGAGGGGGGGAAGGGGGGGTGATGGGGGGAGGGGCGGGGAGGGGTGATAGTGGGGGAGGGGAGGGGTGATAGTGGGGGAGGGGAGGGGTGATAGTGGGGGAGGGGAGGGGTGATGGTGGGGAAGGGGTGATGGTGGGGAAGGGGGCGGGGAGGGGTGATAGTGGGGGAGGGGAGGGGTGATAGTGGTGGAGGGGGGGGGTGATGGTGGGGAAGGGGTGATGGTGGGGAAGGGGGCGGGGAGGGGGGTGGTGGTGGGGAAGGGGGGGAGGTGGAGAATGAACAAAATAAGGACTCCTGCACCAAAACAAACAGTCCACGTTTGTTTTGGAACGTTTGAATGTATTCAAGAGGCACTTGGACAGGTTCTTGCAAGAAGTGCCGGACCAACCAGGCTATAGTAGATATGTGGGCCTGCGGGCCGCTCCAAGTAACGGCCTGTTGGACCAAGTTATCACAAGTCGAGCCTGGCCTCGGGCCGAGGTCGGGGAGTAGAAGAACTCCCTAAACCCTCTGCAGGTACACTCCAGGTATGCCACCGCCCCCGGGATGGTTACAGAGGTGCATAATATGAACTAAACTAACCAATCCAAAGTAGCAACAGGTACCATTATGTTTAAGATGGGGGTCTTTAACAGGCATAAGCCTACATGAACTTCCATACACCCATACCCATTGAAGTGTGTTATCCCCCAGGGTTGGAGCGACGCCCACGCCCACTGCCGGGGTCAGGGAGGGTTTCTGCCCTCCAGGGAGGAATACAAGCAGCTGAGGGCGGCATGGCGCCTCCCCATCAACCTCACGTGGACGGCCCTCACGCCTCACAACGGCCACTACCAGTGGCTCTCTGAGTGCCCAGGTGAGAACCCTCATACCCCGCACCCCCTCACTCCCTACATCACCCCCTACGCACCATCTTTCTGTAGCATTGTGTTTAGTAACTAATCTCTAGTGCGTGTGATCTATGATCTTCAGCATGTTGCTATCACTCTCATAACACGAGGCATGTTACTAATCTAAATATATCAATGTAATATATCTAATCAGGTGAAAGTAGATAGTACTATTTTGCAACTTGCATTTTATACTGTACTGCACTCTCATTTCATATATATATATATATATATATATATATATATATATATATATATATATATATATATATATATATATATATATATATATATATATATATATGTGTGTGTGTGTGTCGTACCTAGTAGCCAGAACGCACTTCTCGCCCTACTATGCATGTCCCAATTTGCCTAATAGGCCGAGTGATTTTCTTTATTTTCAATATTTTTTTTCCAAATAGTTTATGTGAATTATTATTTTATATTAAGACCATAATTTATTGACTTAGTTTTGTTAGTTTAGGTTAGGCTAAGATAGGTTAGGATAGGTTAGGTAGGGTTGGTTAGGTTCGGTCATATATCTACGTTAGTTTTAACTGAAATTTAAACAAATTAACTTATACATAATGAAATGGACAGATTTATCATTTCATAAGAAAAAAATAGAAAAACATATAAATTCAGGAAAACTTGACTTACTAGGCAAATCGGGCCTTGCATAGTTTAAATCTTGTGTATCTAGATTCAACTTAGAAAATACAAGTACCCTCTTGGGGCAGATCTATGGAAACCTCGGCTACTGGAGGCACCAACGAGGATTTTCCAGCATGTCAACAAGCCATAAGAACCACTCAAAAGTAATAAAGTAGCAGCATGATTAGCAGATATTCTCACTGCACGAGTCAAGAGAAAATGGGCTTCAAAGCCTCGCTGAGCGGACCATAGAATGTTCTAATATGTGAGAGGTAGCCTAAATATGTAGCAATAGGGTGAAGGACGTAATAGGAAAAAAAATGACATATGGAAGAAAGAATTATAAAATAAATAATATCAAAAACTAATCCAGCTAGGCGTGACGGAGGCAGCCAATATATTTATTCCAATCCACAGTAAAAATAATAACACAGAGATACAGTGTATGTTAACCACAATGGGAGGACTTGAGACTTGCAGACATAAGGCTAAATCAAAATAAAGGACACAAAGAATGCCAGAAACCAGGCACACGAACATGGAAGCCTGAGACCCTTATCGAAGAATGTGAGACGATGAAGAATGAGTAATTAAAAAACCACCATATTAGTTAAAGGAAGAACCTAATCGCAGCTGCTTCAGTCATATCAGGGAAAACAACAGTAAAAGAGCATGTGGTGAAACTGTGCTGAAATGCGGGAGGACACGTTCATAATGAACAACAAGAAAGTATGTGAACGCTGAACATACAAGTCAAGAGGGAGAGAGGCTGGTGAACTGGGCCAAGCTGGAGAACACAATTACTAGGAGCTGCAGCCTCCAGAAACCACTTACCATGCCATATACAACAAAACACTAAAAACAAACCATTCCATTAAACTTACGTGAAGTGATCAGAAGTGAAACTTGATACCTAACACACAGATACTAAACACTATAACAAATATTTATATAATGACTACAAATCTACAAAAAATGTATGTAAAATACAAACAGAATAAACGACAATTATAAAGTACTAACCAAAATCTTATAAAAAACTCAAATATTAAATAAAATTAAATACCAAAAAATGTCAACACAAATACCATAGGCTCTTATTTTAAATTTAAAGATAAAGTACCTACCCCCTTGTGCTCAAATGTCGTATATATGTATAATTGTTCCAGCTGTAATGCTGGATATGTCGGGAGTTCCATTCGGAACTTTAAGATTAGGATACTTGAGCACCGGGGATTATCTTTTAGGACTGGATTACCATTGTCTAAACCCGCATTTTCGGAGATTAGAAACCATTGTTATGAGTTTGATCATTCTCTGCTGGAATCTGATTTTAAAATTCTGGACACTTGTATGAATGGCCAGTCAGATTTGAGAGTAATGGAATCCTTATATATAAAGGAGCTGCGGCCTCTGTTAAATAGCAACCTTTCAGCTGTTCAATTGTACACTGTATAGTGCACAGTAGGCCCTGTAATTTGATTTTTAGTTTATTTTGGTAGTTTAATTTTGTTTAGTTTACCATGTCTTTGCCCTTTCTTACTTATTTCAAGTCTTAACATTGTACATTAATATAATCTTTTATTTAGGATATATAATACATTTTTTGGTATTTAATTTTATTTAATATTTGAGTTTTTTATAAGATTTTGGTTAGTACTTTATAATTGTCGTTTATTCTGTTTGTATTTTACATACATTTTTTGTAGATTTGTAGTCATTATATAAATATTTGTTATAGTGTTTAGTATCTATGTGTTGGGTATCAAGTTTCACTTCTGATCACTTCACGTAAGTTTAATGGAATGGTTTGTTTTAGTAGTTATAAATTTCATCTTGTAGTTTAATGGATTTTAAATTAGTTTAAATATATATGACAGTTAATAAGTTTTATTTGTATTGATCACTTTAAGTGCGCTTAAGTGTTTTGTTTTTAAGCATTTTCCTTTCTTTGATAGGCAATTATATTCAGTATGAGTTCTTTGTTTACCAGCTAGTTGATTGTGATTTCTGTTTTTTCTTTTAGATCTGATGATGAATACGAGAAGTATTCGAAACGTTATGTTTTTTAAAGTAAAGATTCTGATACAAGATGTTCAGTATATCCCTGGTTTTCCTATTCATCTTAAAATTAAGATTCCCGAAGGGAACATCGATCATAAATATTTTATATATATATATATATAAAGTTTGTGAGGGTACCACCTCTGGTGCCAATGTGGGGACCCATAGAATCGGAGAAGAAAATAAAAAGTATTCAGAGGAGACCTTGTGGTTTCTCACTGAACACTAATATTATCTTCTCCTACCATCCCCATTCTTTTGTATGTACACATATATATTTACTTTATTTGAACTTTGTTACAAAAAAGGAGTTACATATGGGATATATATATCCCATACATACATATGTACATTATATATATATATATATATATATATATATATATATATATATATATATATATATATATATATATATATATATATATATGTACATTTTGAAAGCTCGTCTTGCAACTAAGCTAAATTTAGTACATAAACGAACTTGCTTCAAAGAAAAATCGTGAATCTGAAAACACACTCGCTCCTTCTCTCCCACACACCCTCCCTCCCTTCTACACTTCCTCTCTCTCCCACACTCCCACCCACATACCCTCCCACACTCCCACCCCTCCCACACTCCCACCCCTCCTACTTGTCACAGAGTCTTCCAAGCAACACAATTGGGCGCATGGTTTTCTCCTCAGACCATCTTCATTATACAGTGATGCTATCGTCACTATCTCCTCAAGCGTTCGACCAGCTCTTGGCAGGCTCAAGAAGATCTTGCTCCTTGTAATTTGTGGCCAACGCCTCGAGTTCTGGGCTACGAGTCTCGTGGTGCGCTGGGTCCTGTGATTATAATTACTGCTGGGTGTTACGCTCTCTAATTCTAGTCTAAGATGTGTTTTGGCGTGTTTTAATCGTTTAAAAGGCGTTCTCTCTCTCTCTCTCTCTCTCTCTCTCTCTCTCTCTCTCTCTCTCTCTCTCTCTCTCTCTCTCTCTCTCTGAAGTCGTGCTTTCTTTTATTAAGTTTTGCTCTGCGTATTCGTCCCAATGTTTTAAAATTTGTTTTTGGTTTGTTTTGGTTTCTCAGTCGGACGAACACACACACACACACGTGTGCGCACACACACACACACACACGTGTGCGCACACACACACACACACACACACACACACACACACACACACACACACACACACACACACACACACAGTCTAGAACAGTTACAAATATAGAACTGGCCCTGAAACAGGATGAGAGAGACAGTGAGAGCGTTCACCACGAAATGCTGCATTTTGGCCTTCAATTATATGTAGTGTCAATGAAAACAACAGGAAAATGACGATAGGGAGTGTGTGGAAGGGTAGCATATTGTAAAGTGGCAATACCAGAAGGTCAGATAATTCCCGGAGAACAGCATGAACATAACCAGTCAAGTGAGAGGAACACAAAACATGGCGGACTATATAAGAAACTAAAAGAAGCTGAAGGGAGATTCATACACCACCACTGAGGATAGACGAACTAAGAAAAACATTTGCTTAACTCTCCCTCTCCAGTTAAGAGGCATAACTGGCCGACCTTTCAGAGTGTTCGAAAGAGAATTTGATAAACACCTTCAAAGGATACCTGATCAACGAGGCTGTGACTCACGCATCAGGCTGCGAGCAGCCGCGTCGAACATCCTGGTTAATCAGACCAGCAACCAGGAAGCCTGGTCGGAGACCGATGCGTAGGGAGACGTTGATCATTAGACACTTCGAAGGGCATCAAGAGGTAATGTTCTGAGAGACAATACCTAGAGGCTAAGAGAGGAAGCAAAAGAGCACAGCAAGAAATGTAAAGAGCACAGGACAATATATCACATATATAATAACAAGGAACAAATATACAGAATACTTGTGTAAAGGAGGAAATGTATATGTTTATCTCTCAGAATCTTTGGTAATATGTTTATTGCTTGTGATGTGTGTCTATGTATGTATGAACACGATGTACTGAACGGGGTGAGAATAGCTTGAGCTACCGCATCCCTTTGTGTGTATTTTACCTCAATAAACTTATTTCAATTTCAATATACAGAAATTAGCGGCAATGGTGTACGAGAGAGCAGTCTATCCTCCTAAAATGAAAGTACTTACAGCACCTATTTGGTTGAAAGTACCAATGCGTAGTGATGGACCACCAGAAAGTTGATTTTTGTATTAACGAGTCTGGACAAACCAGAAACTTTTTTTAACCGCAACTTAAATATATCTCACC